GCGGATGTTTGTAGAGCTACATTAAAGGTTTGATTCAACATAAATTTAAACGTACATCTGAAACCTGGTTAATTGTTGTGCTGCCAAACTATTTAATTAATGTGATCTTTTTCCTCTGTTTTCCTGTTTCAGTCACTTTATTTGTGTTTTCTAAAATGCAAAAGTGGAGCAGAGAAAATTAGAGTCTCTAAGAAGATATTCCTCAACCCATTGAGTGCTTCATGTGGTATTTACTGAGTCTACAGGGAAAAATTAAAAACAAAGAAACCCAAACATAGAATCTACCTCAAAATAGCAGAAAATACAAATGCTGACCCTTACACATCCATAAACCCCCACACTGGACCGTGCAATCAGTCCCTTGAGGCCACTTCCCAGAGAACAAGGGTGTTAATTTGGTGTGTCACTTCATGACTAAGACAGTGGTCTGCAACCTTTAGCCGAGACATTTTTGTGTGGAAGTGGCCCCCATGAGTTCCAGACTGCACGCTAGTCTGGAAAAAAGCTGCTGGCAGAAAAGGGCATCTTACACTCTACTTCGCCTTACTCCAGTTGTCTTTACTCCCTTTAAGCCTTTTTGAAAAGCTTCTGTTATCATCGACAAAGCCGGGTTTAGGCTCAGTATCGCTGCCACCAACCATCCAGGCCACATGCTGACACCCCTGACAGACAATTAATAAGGCCTCCATGCTCAATGTAGCCGGCAGAGCCGGGAGATTACGTCTGTAGGTAATTGTCCCGTTGACAGCAACATGATCCCCAGCCCCTGTAGTGACCTACTTGAATAATGAAATACGAACGAAATGGCAAACGTGAGCTCCCTCATACTCGCACCCGAGGAGGGAAACAGCAAGAAAACAGCGTGCTGTGGTGGCAGAAACAAAGGCTAAATGAGAGCCAGGAGCTGATGTCGTAGTAGTGCGGTTCTGGGTTTTCCCTCAGTGCTTTGTTTGCTCTCTCTCTTTGTCTGTGAAGCTAAAAGAGGCAGCTCAGAGCCACGTTGCTCGGTGAGTCACCTTGCCAGAGAGCCCCAAGCCTGAAAAACATGAACCCTTTTACCGAGGGGATATGTGTGAGTGGGCAGGGGCAGCAATCTAGGCTTGATTGCTGTCTGTAACATCACAAGACTTGTGTTGTATATTCGAAGCCAGCCTGCAGTGATTTCCCCTCTGTGTCTTGTAGCTCTACAATTTACTGTTTCACAATTCAAACTCTAGGGCAGATGTCATATATTAGCACATGGGCTGTAATAACACTCTATGCCTATCTTTGAGAGGTGACTAAATGGTAATATCCATCTGTGCTCCTGCAGGATTTACAGTGTTTCTAATTATCTCAGTCTTCAGAGCTACCTGCTGGCCCAGGCGGCGCAGGTTTCTGCACATCTGGTGCGACCAACATTTGGCCGCAATTCAAAGACGCGCACAGATTATTGTTTTTCTTCAGACTCCTACACAACACAGAGTAAAAATAAGAGCTCTGAGGAGGCTCGGGCTGCTGTGAGATACTGACAACATGATTATTCATGGTAAAAATATCACAGTATCCTTATATTTATATTGAAACTTTCCACAGAATGTATGAAAACACCATTAATGCTACAAGCTAATCTTCTCTACCATCACTAAAACAATGTTACATCTTAGGTATTACATTTTTATTATCCATTTCCTGACACGTTTGTCATAAGCAGGCTTTTTCCATTCATACCTTTTGGAATATTTTAGTTAGTGTCTTTCATTTACCTGATTTTATTGTATTAATTTACCTGCTAAAAGCATTTTGTTTATCATAACCTGATTTTACTTGTTTTCTCTTTAAAAAACATTACTTAAAAAAAAAAACCTCTTTCGAAGCTCTTCGTTAGTATTCTTTTGAAAACTGCTTTACAGTTATTATTAACAGTATCATCATAACAGTATCATCATCATATTGTGACAAAATTAATGTTTTCTTATTTTCATGCTGTTAACCAACTGTAATATTTTTAAACAGCACTAACCTGATAGGACTGGCAGGTGGTGTTTTGGTAGTACTGCTCTCAAAGAACATCTATTTTTGTTTTTACTGCATAATGTAGAAGCCTTTTAAAATAAGCTGTCTGGCAGGGCACAGCAATAGGTTGGGGTAGGGTGAAGGGGGGTAGTGTTGCATTAGAGAAAACTTCTTTTTTTCAGCTTATAACTGTTTGAATAACAATATAATATTATAATGTCGTAGTTTTGAAACTGCACCTTTGTAAAACCTTGATACAGGAAGCATCACAAACATCATGGTTAAATATTCATCACTACAAAGGAAAAGCCTTGAAATGAGATGTAACATAACATAACAGTCACAGACTTCTGTTCATTTCCCGCCTGTTTCGGGGTGCAGACAGGAGGCTACAGCTCTTTAACCTTGTTTACAAACAGTCTTTGTTGGAAAAACTGAGGGGAAGACACCCAACACTGAAGCTATGAGCGAGATGTATATCAAGCAGCCTAATGCAGGTAATGCAGATGGCCCAACAAGCCCCATCTACTTTTTATTCTATAATGAGTACACAGCAAAATTATCCATGCAAAAATAAAATTAGGTGAAAAATTACTAATTAATTTAGCAGATCGTATTATATACTTTTGCATAAGACTGTATTAAAATATATACAATAAATGATCACATTTTTATCAGATTATATTTCCGAAGCTTTATAATCAATTAAAAATTGTATATAATCAATAAATTCAGTAGGTAACTGTAAATATCAGAGGAGTAATTGTGATTCTAAAGGGACAGGCTGGTGTAGACAATGAATGGATCAATTCTTATTACTTTCTGTTTTCACATATAAGCAGTAAGATAACTGAAACATATTTGCTGTAAATTACGCATAAAAACAGTAGACAATAGATAACTGTATTCACTACAGCTTTTGTAAATACAGATGCTGTTCACTGTAAAATGAATGTTCCATGCAGTCTCATCTGTTGACAAAGCTTTACTGAAGGTTTAAAATAGATTCTTGAAAAATTGTAGCTGTAACATAAATAACATTATTCTTATTAACAAAAAATAAAAAACAAAACAAAAGAGGTAACTGTTATTGATTAAGAATATACAATATATATATTGCTTTTGGGCTCTTCATTTCAGCTTCTGCAATTAATTGTCTATTTATTTTTTAGATATATATAGATATTTTAATGAAAATATGCTTTATTCATTGAGAGGTAGATCTTAATACTTTTATTAAATACATAAGTTTGTTGAGCATTATGTATATTAAAAAACAATCCACCATTACAGAACCATTAAATCATTTATAAAATGGATTATTCCAATAGCGATCTAACATAAATGGGAAGTTAGATAAAGGTCAAGAATCATGTTAATATTTTTTTATTTTAAATACATTTTTCTCCATCCACTGCCCAATAAGCTCTGATCAAATACACAGTTCCCGCTAGAGAAAAGCAACACAGCCTGATCTGTATAAACAGCTCATTCAAGGTGATTTGAATGAATAGAATAGAATAGAATAGAATAGAATAGAACAGAACAGAATAGAATAGAATAGAATAGAATAGAATAGAATAGAATAGAATAGAATAGAATAGAATAGAATAGGGGAAAATCTGGTGTTACAGCAGCAAAAAAAAATGATTATAGCAAAAGTGGTCACACAAATGTGGACCTTAGAAAACTGTATAAAAATAATATAATGGTTAAGAATAAGAAAAATAAACAAAAATCAAGAATCTGATGTGTTAGTTTGCCTCCATTCATAACTTGTTGGCATGTATCATAATATATAACAAAAAGTTACAGCTTTAGTGTGACCAGAACAAGTTTGTTTCCCCACATGTTTGCAGCAAACTGTGGACAGGCCTGCTTTTTGCTCCCTCCAGCAATCTTTCTTCTTGTTACTCTTCCGTAAGGGGCAGATAACAGGAGTGTGTGATCCTGCTGGTTCTGTTGACAGACTCACAAACCTGGATCTCTAGAGCTCCTAGAGAGCTATCATTCGCCTCTGGGGGGGTTAGGGTCTCAGACTTATATCAGTTTAGTTCAATGTCCACATCAACTTAGGTTTTTATTGCTATTATTTTTTTCTTTCTGGTTTTCAAGTGATGTTCTACCTGACCCTGCTGTAACCATTTCACAAATATCTGCCTGAATTTCCTCCAACAGTCCTCAGAGGCCTTTACAGGATTTCATACTGAGATTTATTGAATTACACTAATTAAGGAGGTAACTGATTGGTTGATGGTTTTATTAAAGGGTATTCAAGGTTTTCATTGGTTACAAATATGTGAAAACTACACAAACACTCCTGACGCCTAATCAAAAGATATATCGAATTGATTTGTCTTTTAAGCCCAAACTATAAACATGAGTGACCATCATGTGTTTATCATGCTGCGTGACACATGCAGAAACAACACTCTGGAGGAATATTGTGACTCATGTGTATTCAGTCCCTCGCACCCTGTTTGTTATCCTGCAGCAGACCTAATTGGCTAACTTTCTTTGTTGCCATGCTGGCCAGATTTCAGACTGTGTGGGAAACATGCTGCCTCTCCGCCGCTGACTAGATTACTTATGAAAACAGTGTTATTGAGATAACCGGATCATGTTATTAGAGGAGGACAAGAAGGAGGGGGGGTAGGAGGATGATGATGAAGATGAAGAAAAAAAAAAGCACAATAGTTGCCTGTGAAGTGAAGCTGAGCGCCACATACTGTACAAGCTTTGGGGGCGAAATGAGATGTGATGATTGTGAGCTATAAAAAAAAAAGACAAATTGCTTGTCAGAAACAAGAGAAACAAAGAAAGGATCCTGTTTTCTTTTTGTCGAATGGGTATTTAAGGAGAAGGTGGGCGTTAAAAGGAGGAATGTAGGACAGGAGGGTTGTAAGAGGAACAGGAACATGAAAATGGAAAGATAGAATAGATGTAGGTTATGTAGAATGAAACCATGCACCCCCCCACCCCATACAACGGTGACGCGTCTTTACCTGCTCAGGCCCCTGGAAACAGATCCTGCACTGGGGGGTCCGCAGGCTGCTGGCCGTGCTGGTCAGGGACACGGCGTCCAGGCCCACTTGGAGCTTGGGCTCCTTCTCCTCGAAAGCCAGGCTCCGGGGCCTCGGGTCGCTGCCGTAGTACTCCTCCTCGTCGTCCCGGGAATGGCAGTCGACGAAAGGCGGCCAGCCGCAGCCGCCCATCCCCAGACCCCGCATGGCGGTGGAGCGTCGATCTGTGTCTGAGCCGGACTGTCGTGAATCGGATCGCATAAACACCAGGACCTTCAGTTCATTGAAAAACATGCGGATCCGATACTTGAACATTATTATTATTATTATTATTATTATTATTATTATTATTATTATTATTATTATTATTATTATAATTATTATTATTATTATTATTATTATTATTATTAATCGTTTCTCATCACTTTTGGCCCCTCTGATGGCATGTGTGTCTAAGCCAATGCGGATGAAAGATTTTCCTTTTCAGCTGACCGACACACTCTTTCACTCATTCATCACTCAAACAACTCAGCAAACACTGTCTATATGCATCTCCCACCGCACCCCAGTAAACATCACAAACTGGTGTCCATTTTCCTCACTGCTCCTCTTTCTTCTGTTTTTATTTCTTATTTTTTCCTCTCTTCCTTCGGAAAAACTGCCGGGGTCTGCAGCAGCTAATATTTATATACCGGTATATAAATACAAATGAGCCTACATGTTTTGCTACCCGAAGCAGAAGACTGCGAGAGAGCGGACTAGAGGAAGAGAGAGCAGGATAGAGGCAGGGAACCGAGGACGGGGTGTAAAAAACAACGACATGCCATCCATACAGTCACATCTGGGACTCCCGTCAAGAAACATAATCCAAAAAAAAGGGGGGAAATTAAACGATGAAATGCAAGTTTTCCTCTAATGTGATACCGTCTTATTTTTCTAATGTCCCTCTGTGTCAGATCATGTCCCCCCACCCCCTTCCCTCTTTTCCTCCTGTCCTTTCCCCCTATTTCATCTTCTTGTTGAAACGCTCCTGGTCGATCCACAAATAATCGGAACCATTCCCTTCGACGATCCACGTAAATTTGAAAAACACGTCCCTCAGCGTTCCCATCTTCTGGAGCCCCATGTTTTCCGTCTCAGCTCGATGTCCATCAGGGTTTCTCAGCGATCCACGTAGAAGAGAAGATAGAGAAGCAAATGAGACAAAAGGCAGCTTCTAATATTGGAGAGGAAAAAGGGGACGCGCGGTGAAATCACGCAGCGTGATTATTGGATCAGATATGTGGTGCTGATGAGACTGCTGGCGCTGGTTTTTCTTCCTCGAAATGGTCGGCTTGGAGACTGAACGGAACGCAGCCGCTACTTCCGGGACGGGGAGGGGGGTAGAAATCTTCCAGTCATCCTGTAAACAGCGGGACATCGTGTCTCCGTGGTCATCCATCCATCCTCCGGTGGGTGAAAGCGCCTCTCGCTGCGCTCCCAGCTGAGCAGAGGAGGAGAAGCTCTATTATTGACCGGCTGCCGCTGTCCAGGGTGCTGAAAGCCCCCTGCCACCAACCCCTCCTCGTTGATGACGTGTTGCCACATGAATTAAGAGCGCGCGAAATATCCCCCCTCCCTCCCCATGCTGCTTCGCTGTGTAATAGAAAACAATTTACAGTCTTACCGAAATTTAACGTTTAATGTTTTTTTTGTCACCTTAACATAAATTCAATAGAAAGAAAAGCTGTTCCATGCATTGTTTTTTTAAACAGATGTCCTGACGGGGTTTGGGGGATGGGTTACCTACCCACGGGAAATTCAGAAACGCTAATTTAACACTTGGCTGGACTACTCCACACATGCATGGACATGCACACTTGCAAAAAGGCTGGGGTTCAAACCCAACACCTTGTTGCGATGAAACCCCTCTGCAATACAACCCAGTTTCATATGATTAGATTCATAAAGTAAATAAATCAACCCAAAGCAAACTGTCTCTATGTGAAAAATAGCAAGTATAGGGTTTGCTAGACCCAGCGAAATAAAACGTTTCTCTTCCCAAAACATTATGTGTTCAAAAGAGCGATATTTTTGCATCCCAAAAACATTGTAGTGGAAAAAGTCACACGTCGTTATCACTTGGTCCTATTTTCTCTCTGTTCGTATCAGTGCGCGCCATCATTCAGACAGCGAGCTCAACAACAGCCAGATGCATGTCTCGCTGAGACATGCATCTGGCTGTTGTCAGGTTAGTAGGCCCTAGCTGTCAGGTCATGGTGTCGCGCGCACTGATACGAACAGAGAGAAAATAGGACCAAGTGTGACTTTTTCCACTACAATGTTTTTGGGATGCAAAAATATCGCTCTTTTGAACACATAATGTTTTGGGAAGAGAAACGTTTTATTTCGCTGGGTCTAGCAAACCTGCCGGACTACTTTCGGCTTGACCAAAGCTGGACGAGAACTCTGCTCACAGGATGCTGCCAGGGGTAAGTCAGTGTGATTGCATGACACTGGTGATGGGGATGCCATACAGATTCATGTCAAAAATCCCGAACTATCCCTTTAAGTCCAAACTACTGTCCACCATTTAATTATTAATTAGATAGCATATTACAGAGACAATTCAACTAGATCATAGAGTTAGATTTGTTTAAAGTTTATCTAAGGAAAACCAACCAATTGCATCAACTCATAATCTCTCACACCGAACATGCATGCAGCAACAGCGGAGAGGAAAAATTCCCTATTAACAAGAGGAAACATCCAGCTGAACCAGCCTCAGTGTAAGCGGGCTTGTGCTGAAGCCAACAAGATTTCAAGGATATAGAAGAACATAGAAGCACTGATCTATAAATACTTTCTATGTTAGAAAATGTAATTGCAAACTAGCTCCACAGGGGGCTCTATCTGGGTTGAGCAGATGCACTCTGAGCCAGTTTTCATGTCAAAAAAAGAGGTAGACTCTCAAAATGTAGACAAATTTTAGAAAACTGACTTTTGGTTTGCGTCATATTGTTGCCCTGCTATTTACCCCATGGACTTTAGATCACAACTGACTGTCCACTTAATGGCCCTTTAGGGTTTTCTAGAAAGAGACAAATTCAAGTTTCCAGGTATTAAAAGAGCACAGAGAAAACCTTCCAGTGTAATCTGCTTTTGTCTAGCAGTCCAGTTTTTTTTATCTAAGTCTTTGGTTGCTTCTTTGAAAGCAGTAGGTTCGGCAATTTTCTTTTCTCAGTATCAGTTGAATCATCAAAAAATAAAGTTCAGTGAGAGAATTAAGGCCTGCAGGAGTTTAGATATTGTCTGGAGTTCTCTTCAATGTGCTTTGAGGGTTATTTAGAAAGAGATTCTAAAAAGGGCTCCCTATTGTTCTGGGTTATCTTAATCTGTGGACAGTAAGTCAAATTTTATTTTTATTTTATTTTAAATAAATCCAAATGAACCCATTTAGAAATTAACTTGCATTGTCTATGTTCTAGCTTTGAATTTCTTTGACCACCTCAGTAATTCTTTTCAGATTTTTATTTTTGAAAAATGGCATATTCTGTTTCCTTTCTAAGTGTGAGCTCTATCTGCTGTCACGGATCAACTGCTCAGTCTGGATATATCTAAGTAAAGGTGCTGGAAACCAAAAATATTCCATGATAAAAAATATAAATCTGACATTTTAATAACACAAAATATGAAGAGATAACAATCATTTATTGTATCTGCCAATGCAGGGCAGTAATGAACAGATCCCCAAAATCCAGGTCAAAAGGTCACTTTCATTTGCATTTTAAGTGATGCAGCTGCCTGTTTTTCATTTACTCTGTATTCCCCACCATGGCAGCACCTCCTACAAAATCCCTTGCCTCATTGATCCTGATTGATTTCTCCCATTCTGCTTGTTTCAGGCATTAAATTTGCACTAAGAAAAAAGTCTTGCTGTTGCAGGTCTCATGTTGTAACTGTGATGCTGTGCTAAGACATTTCTTTAAACCAGAGAAACATGGGTCGTGGGATTAACCTGATGGTTTATTTGACCTTCAACCATGTAAATTGAGAAGCGATGAGTTCATCAGCTCACAATGTTCTCATGGGAGATTTTAACTGCATTCCATGATATAGAAATAAACAGCTTCAGTAGTGTGAGTAACTATTTTTTTCTGAGTGGGAGGGCTTTTTTTTAGTCTTTGATGATGCTTTGGGGGTTTGGGTTGCAACATTTGTGGTTAATGTTGTGGGGAAAAAATAATTCCTCCTTCATTCCACATTAATACTTCATCTCCTGCATATTCTCATTAACATTTCCTTCCTATTAGTCACCAGCAACAACTAAAAATGTGCTTTTCTAGCTGATGAATTCTAATTTGCCAGATGAACACAGACGCCATTCAAACACTATTACTATCATGGGAGAAGAAGCGGCGATGTTGGATCAGTTTAAATACCTTGGTGTTCACCTGGGCAACAGACTATACAGGAGACGCAACAGCAAAGCCATCTATGAGAAGGGAGAGGATAGACTTGCTTTATGTCCATATATTTTCTTAATTTTTTGTTAACTTTTAACTGTACAGAAGTTTGGCCTCACTGTCTGATTTTAAATACTTTAAATATATATGTTGGTTGCACAGTATTTGCTTAGGTTAGTAGTCATTAAGTACCCTGTGCTGCAGCTTTTAATTGTTTTCCTCTGCCCTACAAAAATGAACCAAAGCATTACAGAGAACCCTGAATATCCTCTCCATTAGGTTGTCGTACAACAGCAGCTTTCAGTCAGAGGCTTGATCAGAACCGCTGTAATACAGACCTCTACAGAAGATCTTTGCTGCCAACAGCCTTTAACATCAACAACAACTCTGAAGAGACTTGGATAAATGAGTTACAATAACACTTAATATTGCACTTGTGTTTAATTAAGTGTTTTTGAACTTTTTAATTTAAATGAAAAATCAGCCTTTATGCTCTTCTGTTTTAACATTTATGTGTAGGTTCAATTCATTTTATTTGGTTTATGTGGTTTTTGCCCTGTATAGGGTCTTCCTCGAATAAAGTTTTGCATATAAACTTTCTTCTTACTGTTAAAACATTGAATCAGAACAATTGTTTTCTTTTTTTAGATCAGTTAGAATAAAACAAATAATTCATAGTTAATAGATGCCAGAATGATGACAGAGATTTTTTTCTATAATTATCCACTGAAGTGAAAGGTTTGCATACACAACTCTTACATTTGGTTGAACTGTACTTTTTGATATTTTGTGTTCAGATGTTTTATATCTCCTTCCACAAGTTTCCCTCTATAATTCCTGGGAATTATGGCCTATTCCTCTTGGTAGATGTGGTGTAAATGGATCAGGTTTGGACTCCACTTTATTTAAACTTTATTGTACTGTAGCTCTGATACTTTGAAACTAATTTGTCTAAATTTGGACCTTTAACCTCCTAAATTCTTTGCTTAGATTTTGCTTAAATGTTTCCACAAAACATTATTTCTTCATAAGTGCGAACATTTTCCACAGTGTAGAAGTCCTTCCAGCAGCAAAACACTCACACATGATACTTCCACCTCCGTACTTCAGTTTTCAACTTCTTCCTCCTATCTTAACTATTATAACAACCATCCCTATTAACTATCATCAGACCACATGTCTCCAGATTTTAAGTCCCCTCCATTAGGTTGTGCTTGAGTGCATTTGCAAATTTTGGTTTGCGTTTCAGCATTTTAGTGGCAGCATTAAAGCAATTTTTGATGCTAAATTTTATTTTTTTAATTTAATTTGCATATAAAGTTGTTGAAAAGTGTTTAAACCATCTGACCAACTTTATAGACTCCAAGGCCGATCCAGAAGATGCCTGGTAACCTGCCTCTCTGCTTAGTTTCATTATTGATAGGCTGTATTGACCTGTTTGTCTCTCTTCACGGATGATGAGGAGAGACAAACAACGTTGTCGTTGCAGCTCTGCGAGAAGGAATCCGACACAGCCCCATTAAATCCGGTTCTGATTGTTTATCCAAAACATGACGGACCATAAAAAAAACACATTTCCTGTTTCTAAACAACCTACATTCATTATTTGACATTACCTGAACAGTTGTGCTTGAAAGAGCTGCAACTGAACAGTCGTCGACATGCTCCTACTGTTTTAGTTTTCTGCATATTTAAAGCAACCAAACAACTGCAGGAAAAGCCCAAATGAAAAAAGTGTGACGCTCTAAGTACTAAATGAAATTAAACACAAAGTGAAAAACAAAACCAGCATGATTTTATCCATTAGGGCTAATAAAAGTAACAGCTAAGAAATATTGATCGTCCCTTGGCTAGCAATTAAGGGAACACAGACGATTAAAGCAGACCTAATCCAAGAGAGCAAGTGAGAAAACAGATGTTTGTGGTTGGGACTAAAACACTGGCAGTAAAGAGGACAACCTTAGATTGTTAAAAGAACAGTTTAACAGGTCTGAGAGACAGCTGCTAAAGGTTATTCAATCATTTCTATGTAATTAAGGAACAGATGTTGCACAAACATGCAGTAGAGAGAACGTTTTGCTGGGTTTAGATCGTCCAGCCGGCCTACAGGAAAATCTCTTTGTAAGATTCCTTTTACCGCCAGTGCAGAGCTGGCTCTACTTTGGAGGCAACTGGGTGTGAAAACAAGAATTTCTCCCAAAGTACAAACAGCAGAAGATAGGTGCAAAGTTCAGAAAAAATTCTTCTGATTGGTGGAGAATAGAAATGGATATATTTGGTTGCCATGAGGACATTTTTGGGACATTCTAGAAAATCCATGGGGAGTCTTATGGCAGCAGGTTGATATGACTAAATCTGCCTGCAAATAAAATAAGCACTTTAGACCAAGATTGCAGAAAAGAAGCTACATCCAACTGAGAACATTTAAAACAGACAGGGTTTCTGCAGGATGCTTGAGGACAGAAGTGAAAGGAGATTGGTGTAAAGTTTTTTTTTTCTAATGAAACTTTCATTTAATGTTTGGAGGTCTAAGAAAGAGATAAGCTAAACACCAACCAGGTGTTAGAAGTTCAGGATGATCTTAACTGGGACCTTTTTTTTTTTCGATTAAAGCCTCATATGAGCAGAACGACCATTAAACAAAAAAAAAAAACAAAACATATCGGCAGCTACAAAATAACTAAAACACTTTGTCTAACAAATACAACCTAACACTAATTATCTTTAAAAGATTAGAGTGTCCAGATTTCCAGTATTAAACACTTAAGTGCGTTTTTTTTTTTTTTTTTTCCCTTCTTGATCAATAAATGGATTCTTCTGAAATCTTTGAATGGTAGTGCAGCCCCTGGGGAATCTTTTAATTGAACTGCAGCAAAGAGATAGAGGTATGTAATCTGCACAACAAATCTTTTAACTAGTTTATTTAAAGCAATGTTTCCTGGTAGTAATTTAAGTTATTTTTATTTTATTTTTTTATTAATAGAAGCCTTCTTCAGTTCCAACGCAGAAGATCCTGCGAGATCCCAGCCCCAAATATCGACAATTAGATACTTCAATTTATTTCCCATTGTATTTATGAAGTTTAACAAACTTTTAACACAGTTTAATAATTAAAAGTTGAAAGGCTTGAATATTTGCCTGTTTTAAGCAAATTATTTCCTCATGCATAATTTGATGGAAAGATGCATCATAGAAGAGATGGGGCAACAACCACAACATGCCTGCAGGTGAAACATAACAAAAAAGCAAACCTCAGGTGACCATTTTGTTTTTATTTCATTTTCTTTTTTTGTGTGCTTCACTGAGACTTCAGTTTTCTTTGTTTTTCTTTCTGTTTTATTTTAACTCTAACTACTATTGAAATGTTTTGTTAATAAATGTGCTATGATTTTATAAAGTAAAACTTTATTTTTCTCCTGAATGGTGGCAGCATTTTACTTAAACTTATTATCTTACTTCTTGACGATTTACTCTGAAAGATGCTTTCCATCAAGTCTAACTGAATGGGAACAAATGAACAGATAATTAAACAGACCAGCAGCTGTAATGATAACAGAAGGATCCAGAGTATTGATTTAAGGAATGTAAATACCAATTTAGGCCATTATTCTCTAATATACAGAAAAGAAATGAAACTAGATATATATATATATATATATATATATATATATATATATATATATATATATATATATATATATATATATATATATATATA